GGAACTGGGGGGGGGGGAGGAGCCGGGCTAGTGTCGGTCGCGAGGGCTCACTTCTTTCCCTGGGTGTCGCCTGGGGCAGCTGCTGCTGGACCTGGGGAGGAACAGGCTACTTCTCTGGTGCTGAGAGCAGGGAGAGAGCCCAGGGGAGACCCTCCCCAGCCTCGCCCACGGCCGCTGGGAGTCTCGGCGCCTGTCAGTGTTAGACATAAAATAATGAAGCAAAATGGGACTAAAACACGTCCCATGTACTTGTCAGCGGAATCTGCCCTTGCGCGGCAGCTGCTGCTGGACCTGGGGAGGAACAGGCTACTTCTCTGGTGCTGAGAGCAGGGAGAGAGCCCAGGGGAGACCCTCCCCAGCCTCGCCCACGGCCGCTGGGAGTCTCGGCGCCTGTCAGTGTTAGACATAAAATAATGAAGCAAAATGGGACTAAAACACGTCCCATGTACTTGTCAGCGGAATCTGCCCTTGCGCTCCACCTGTGCCTAAGCACTGGCCCTTGAGGCTCTGGCAGCGTGGGTGCTTCCTTAGGGACATGAGGATCTGCCTTAACTGTGTCAGACTCTTCGTATGGAATCGGCCGTAGTACTTGCTCAGCTTTAATTCCTGAACTGTTTTTAAAGTGAGAACATGCTTCAGTTATCCCATTGTGTCTACACTATTTTTCAGCCTGGTATGTTTGGGGCATACAGGATCCTGCTTGGAGGAGGAGGAGGAATTGATGTGCGCGTGAAAGAGATAAATGTTTTGATGATCTTCCTGGGGATGGATCCTTTTGATGAAATCTATGCAAAACAAACCTTTCTCAACAGTGAAAGTAAAAATGAAGCACAGTGGATATTATGTTCCTTCATTTTGCTTTGGTCTAGTGTAAACGTTCTTAATTTCATTTTAATTATAAATGTCAGTACAGACAGGGTGGTATAGGGGATTCTTGATGTAAATAGCAACCTATCATAGGTGGTCAGTTCAAATTAGAGATGTTGCAGTTTACCCGGCTAACTGTTTAACTGATAAGAGGATGCCAGTTGAGTGTGGTTAGTTTACTGTAGTGGCTACTGCTTTAGAACTGGTTGGACACCATAGATTTACTGGGTCCTCCACTGCAGACAGACTACTCTCATCCCCTGAAAGTGGAGGTTTTTTTCAGCTCAGGGTATAATTAACATAGACAACTTAAAGCAGTGGTAACCAACTAGTTGATCATGATCAAGTGGTCAATTGCAGAGGCCCTGCCAGTTGATTTCAATGCAGTGTTCCTAGCCCCCTTATTTCCCCCAACCCACAACAAGGCACTTGTGCTGGCGCTACAGCCTCCCGCCCCTCCCAAAATTGGAGCCAAAGTTGGCTTCCTGTGGTGGAAGGGAAGGAGGAGAGAATTCCCGCAGCTCTGCACCAGATCCGGCTTCTCAGGAAGCTCAAGTACACTGCTCCTCCCCACTCCACAGCAGTGCATGTGCTTTCTTGTCTTGCCTTCCTTCCCCCGTGTACCAGGGAGGCAGAGTCAGGCATGGGGGAAGTTTAAGATGGCAGTGGAGGACCCAGAGCGGCTGGATTTTTTTAAAGGAGCCGCACGTGCACTTCTTCTAGCACTACCTACAGATCCTACCTGAGAGATGCTCATCCCTGGAGACCCCCAGGTCCAGCCAAGCTGCCCTTGACCCCTCTCCCTTGGCCAGACACCCACCAGCATCCTGCCCCAGCCTGTAGTGCCAGCACCCTGTTCCAGCTCCTCCTTCCTGGCCAGACACCTACTATCAGCTTGCTCAAGTACCCTACTTTCCACCCAGATTCTGTACCCTCATCCCTACCCCACTCACTGGCAGCTCTGTCCCACACACTGGATCCCTCATTTTTGGCCCGATCTCAGAGCCTTGGGGGGCCCCACAAAATTCACTAACCCTGGACCCCCAGAAGAATTAATCTGTCCTGGGACCTTGAACCTCAGTCCTCCCCCCCCCCTGGCCAGACACCCCCAGTTTGCTCCTGTACTCTTATTTTCCACCCAGATTCTGCACCCCCGTCCCTATCCCACTCATTGGCAGCCCTGTCCTGCACATTGGATCCCTCATTTTTGGCCCCACCTCAGATTGTAGAGCGGTCCACAAATTCCACTAACCCTGGAACCCCAGAAGAGTTAATCTGGCCTGGGGCTGGAGTGTCAGGGGAGTGAGGTATCTTAGTTGGGGCCACATCAGTGAGGGTTGTGGCTTTTTGGAGGTGTTGTTTTTTTGCATCTCACTTCTGTGGTCCCCAACTGATTTTTCTGAGGATCAGTGGCCCCCTGACCCAAAACATGTTCCCTGCCCCTCCCATAAAAAAAGATAATGTTGAAATGTTTTGTGTTGGCCATAATAGTTTATTTAAAAATGAAGCCTGGCCAGCAAGCTCCCAGTTGGGGTCAAATCCTCATCTGGCCTCAGTATCATAACACCCCTGCACCCGCCCACAGGGGAGCCGGTCATACACCTGAACCCCGTGCCCTGAGCCCCCCACATCCCCAGTCTTGTGCCACAACAGTCCTGCACCATCCACACACTGCAATTCTGAGCCTATCATACACGCAACCCTCCTGCCTTGAGCCCCTCATAAACCCCAACCCGAACTTCTGCACCCTGATATCCACAAGTCTGCGGTTTACTCAGCACCCCAACTCTTCACCTGACTCCAACAGTCTCCAGTCTGGAGCCCTGTCCCCGATCTAGCATCTTAGTCTCCACTCCTCCTGCATCCAAATTCCCTCCCAGAGCTTACACCTCTCACCCCTTCCCACACACTAATCCCTCATTCCTACCCCAGAGCCTGCACCTCCTGTCTCAACCCAGTGGGAGTGAGTAAGGACTGGGGACAGCAAGTGATGGAAAGGGTAGGGTCTTGAGGAATGGATGGTGTAGATCTTGGCTTGCCCTGACATTTAAAAAGTGATCTTGTGTGTAAAAAGGTTGGAGATCACTGACTTAAAGGGTTCAGAAACCATGACTGAGGTCCAAAAAACCAAGATCAGAGATGAAAAAAGAATGCTTTCTCTCTGAATACTAGTGAGAGAAAGAGAGAATTTGCTAAACTTTTTTAATAATAAGAAACTTAAAGTTTTAAAGTGTGATTTTTTTTTCATGATTCTAAGAGCTGAAGCTTTCAGAAAAACAACAGAAATTGTGAGACTCATAATGAAATCATGAAGTGATAACATTTCATAAGAACAGAGCTGAGGAAGTGTTACTCAGGAAGCATGCAATTACTACTACTTTAGTAAAACATATTCTGTGAATAAACAGAGAATGTTACATGCACACTAAATTCAGAGCTAAGGGCTTGTCCATGTTAGGAGGGTTTGGCAGGTAAAGTCCTCCTAATGTGGATCCAGTTATACCAGTGTCACTTGTATGTGTTTCTCAAACTTTGCAAAGTTATATTGATATAAGCACAGTTATATTAAAATGAGGAGTCATTCTTCCACTCTACTCTGCGCTGATTAGGCCTCAATTGGAATACTGTGTCCAGTTCTGGGCAAAACAAATTGAGAAAATATTCATGTCCGGTATTTTCTAAATAAGATGTAAGGTAGACTGTGATGTAATGTAGATTGTGATATAATGTCAAGTGTGTCCAGTATTTTTGTTGAAACCATCTGGCAACCCTAGTCTAGACAGTTTTTGGTCCTGCCGTGAGGGCAGAGGACTGAATTTCATGACCTCTCAATGTCCCTTTCAGTTCTAGTATATTATGATTCTATATAACTATAGACAATGGAGATAGTTTTTGCTTCAAAGGCTTTTCTGGGATAGCTGTACCTGCAGTGTCCATTTGTGGCAAGAGAGTGAACTATTTTGCTGTTATAATTTAAACCACTTTCCTGAATGACAAAAATGAGTCTCTTGCCAGTACAGTAGACTCTCAGAGTTATGAACAACTTGTGAATGGAGGATGTTTGTAACTCTGAATAAATTTTTTTTTTCAATCTTTACAACTGAACATTCACTTAATATAGCTTTGAAACTTTCCTAGGCAGAAGGAAAGTGCTGTTTTCTCTTTAAGTAGTTTACGTTTAACACTGTACTGTGTTTCCTTTTTTGTCATCTCTGCTGCTGCCTGATTGCATACTTCTGGTTCCAGATGAGATCTGTGGTTGACTGGTCAGTTTGTAACCAGTGCTCAGAATTCTGAGGTTCTACTGTATAAGCTGCATTATTGCAGTGGATAGCTACGTAGGCTAGGCAAGTGATTTCGATTTTTCTGGCAAAACTTTTTAGTATAAAGTTTGTCTAGGGTTTATGGACCTGAAATATGAGTCCTGAAATCATGGATTCATAGAATACTAGAACTGGGAGAGTCCTCAAGGGGTCATCCGCTCCAGTCCCCTGCACTCATGGAAGGACCAAGATCTAGATCAGAGATGAGCAATAACTGTTGATGGAGAGTAGCCACCCTAGAGATGTTGCTACACTTCAAAGGTGGAAGTGCCCTATCGACTCAAGTAGTCGATGTAAATTGCATCAACTATTTGATTAGTCAGTTACTTGAAATTTGACATCCCTCATGCAGGGTCTGGGAGGTGATATGGGTTCAGGAGATGATTCTGACCTGGAGGATGTTGTGCTTAAAAGAAGCATCTGGGATCTTTTTTGGGGAGATAAGGTAACACGCCACATTTATTGAACATACATAAATCAATCAATACTTTATCATATGCATACGATCAGGGCTTGACAAACCACAGCAAGAGCTACTTGCCAGCCCT